TATCACCCTCAGACACCCTTTTAACTCAGTACTGAAGTCATTCCTGAGGTTCACCCTTCAGCTAAAGATTAAACAGGCCCATAAAAAAAATAAAAAACTAGACTAAATGGGCACTCCAGCCCAGGGGCAAGGATGAGAAGGCAAGATGGCACAGGAAAGCTGGTAACGGGGAACCCAAGGTCGAGAAAGAGAGAATGTTGACATGTCATAGGGTTGGCAACCAATGTCACAAAACTACATATGTACTAATAGTTTAATGAGAAATTAATTTGCTCTGTAAACCTTCATCTAAAGTACAGTAAAAAAAAAAAAAAGAAAAGAAAAAGAAAATATTCTACATCTTACTTTGGTGAGCAGTGTCTGGAGTCTTAAAAGCTTGCAAGTGGCCATCTAAGATTCATCTACGTGTCCCATCATGTTTGGAGCAAAGGAGAATGATGAAAGCCAAAGATGCAAGGAAAACAGTAGTCCAGAGGACTAATGGACCCCATGAGCCACAGCCTCCACCAGCCTGAGCCCAGAAGAACTAGATGGTGCCCGGCTACCACCACTGACGGCTCTGACAGGGATCACAACAGAGGGTCCAAGACAGAGTGGGAGAAAAATGTAGAACAAAATTCAAATTTACAAAAAAAGATCAGACTTACTGGTCTGACAGAGACTGGAGAAACCCCCCGAGACTATGGCTGCCGGACACCCTACTAACTCAGAACTGAAGCCCTTCCCGAAGTCCACCTTTCAGCCAAAGATTAGACAGGCCTATAAACCAAACAATAACACACGTGAGGAATGTGCTTCTTAATTCGATCAAGTATACGAGACCAAGTGGGCAACACCTGCCCAAAAGCAAAAACAAGAAGGCAGGAAGGGACCGGAAACCTGGACGAATGGACTAGGGGAACCCAGGATGGCAAGGGAAAGGGGGAGAGTGCTGATACATTACAGGGATTGCAAACAATGTCGCAAAACAGTTGGTGCATAAATTTTTGAATGAGAAACTAATTTGTGCTGTAAACTTTCACCTAAAATAAAATAAAATAATTTTAAAAAAGTAATAATGATGAGTCCACGAAACATAACATGGTTGAATCTAGAGGACATTATGCTGAGTGAAATAAGTCAATCACAAAAGGACAGTATTGCACGATACTACTTTTACAAAAAGTCAAGAATAGGTATACACAGAAAGCAATATTCTTTGATGTTTACCAGGGAAGGCGGGGAGGGGGAATCACTTACTAGATAGGAAAAAAACAAAAAACAAACCCATTGCTGTCATTTCCAACTCATAGCGACCCTATAGGACAGGGTAGAACTGCCCCATAGGATTTCCAAGGAGCACCTAGTAGATTTGAACTGCCGACCTTTTGGTTAGCGGCTGTAGCTCTTAACCACTATGCCACCAGGGTTTCCTACTAGATGGTAGACACATGTTAATTATGGTGATGGGAAAGACAGTCCACAAAAGTCAGCACAACTTGACTAAGGTAAATGAAGATGCTGAGAGGTACGAGAGAATAAAAGACAACTACGGGAAATGCTATAATATATACAATGTTGCAATAGCAGTAATAACAAGCAAAAAATCTGTGAGTGGTTACATAGGTAGATGTGTATGCTATATGCGTATGGGAAGGCATATGGGAGTATGTGTGTGCATATATAGATATGGAGCCCTGGTGGCACAGGGGTTAAGAGTTTGGCTGCTAACCGAAAAGATTGGCCGTTCGAATCCACCAGCCACTCCTTGGAAACCCTATGGGGCAGTTCTACTCTGTCCTATAGGGTCGCTATGAGTTAGAATTCACTTGACAGCAACAGGTTTGGTTTTTATATAGGTATATTTGTGGACACATATATATACATGTTTATATGTGTTGCGTATTTATTCACATACACAATGAAACACATAGGGGGCACAGTTAGGTATACTTCCTAGACATAACCAAACACTTTATGGGATTGATTTACTGGGTTTGAAGCCTCAGGACCATAGTCTCGTGGGACAAGTAGGTCAGTTGGTATAATTTAGTTCATAAGGATAATGTTCTACATCCTAGTTTGGTGAAGTAGCGTCTAGGGTCTTGAAAGCTTGCAAGTGGCCATCTAAGATACAACTATTGGTCTCTTCCTGTCTGCAGCAAAGGAGAGAGAAGTGAACTAAAGACTCAAGGAAAAAATTAGTTCACAGGACTAATGGCCCACGTGAATCACAGCCTTTTCTAGCCTGAGACCAGAAGAACTAGATGGCGCCCAGTTACTACCACCAACCGTTCTGACCAGGAACATAGTAGAAGGTCCTGTTTAGAAGGGGAGAAAAATGTAGAACAAAACTCAAATTCATAAAGAAAAGGCCGGACTTACTGCACTGATAGAAACGAGAGGAACTCCCAAGACAATTGCCCTAAAATACCCTTTTAACCTGGTACTGAATCTACTCCCGGAGGTCACCTTTCAGCCAAATAATAGATTGGCTTAAAAAATAAATATCACCTGTGAGGAATGTGCTCCTTTAAACAACAATTATACAAGACCAAATGGTCAACATTTGCCCAAAAGCAAAGATGAGAAGGCAAGGAGGGACAGGGAAACTGGAGGGATGGAAATGGGGCAGGTGGGGTGGAAATGGGGAGAGAGCTGACAGACACATTGCAGGGATAGCAACCAATGTCATGGAAAAATTTGTGCATGAATTGTTGAATGGGAATCTAACTTGCTGTGCAAATTTTCACCTAAAACACAATAAAATATTTTTAAAAAAGAAAGCCGTATGGGACACAGTTCTACTCTGACACTCATGAATCAGAATCAACTTGATAGCAACTGGTTGGTTTTTGTGGTTTTTTTTTTTTGTTTTTTTTTTGTTTTTGGTATGCACTCTATACAAATACAGGTATTCTAAATCTTTAAAAAAAAAAAAAGAAGAAGAATTTGGGAACCAGCAGCTCTGTGCAGATGCCAAGCATTATTGTGGCTTTTCACATTCTTATTATTTCTGGGGATGTCATGGGACCAGGTGCAGACTCATGGGCATTCCTGAGTTGTCAGTTTTCAGCTGTCTTCCGTTTCTTTCATCTCATTGTCTAGGAAGACGTACTGTTTGACAAGAAGGGACAACAACATCAACTGTCATTGTGTTTCTTCACTTATCCATGTCCTACTGATGCCGGGGGGTGCTGATCACCTGGGGAAACTGCAGGAGTTCTGTGTCACCTTACAGATGAACACAGGAAAAAAGATCCCTCAAAACAACAAAAGATAAACACACAGTCACTGAACCTCTGCCACAGACATGTGACAAAAAACACAGTCACTTCACATACTTGTCTCAAAACAGACAGGAGGTCTGGCGTATAAAGGATAGCTTTCAAGACTCAGGGTGGCAAACTAGATTCCAAATGCAGAGGTCTAAGACAATGAATCTCAAAAATGATTCATGATGAAGAGAACAGGATAGAAGGAAAAGATTAGTCCAAAGGACTAATGGACCACAGCTACCAAGGCCTCCACCGGACGGAGTCCAG